TCCAACGTGTGTATTTTACTACTCTCTTTTCTTCCTTTGGTCAGGATCCTGAAATCTACCATCTCATGATCACTGCTTCCCAGGTTGTCACCCACCTCTACTTCCCCTATTAGTTCCTCCCTGTTTGTGATCAGAAGGTCAAGCTGCGCACGGCCCCTGGTCAGATCCTTCAGCACTTGTGTCAAGAAGTTATCCCCAACATTCTCCAAAAACTTCTTGGATTGCCTGTGTACTACAGTATTGGTTTCCCAACAGATGTCAGGGTGATTAAAGTCCCCCACGAGAATCAGGGCCTGCGATCTGGCAGCTTTGCTCAGTTGTCCAAAGAAAACCTCATCTACCTCATCCACCTGATTCAGTGGCCTGTAGCAGACACCAACCACAACATCACTGCTGTTGTTTGCTCCTTTAAACTTAACCCATAGACTCTCAACAGGTTTTTCTCCCTCTTTATACTGGAGTTCAGAGCAATCATAGTGCTCTCTTACATATAGCACAACTCCTTTTCTCCCCTGCCTGTTCTTCCTGAACAGTCTATACCCTTCCATGAGAGCGCTCCAGTCATGTGAGTCATCCCACCAAGTCTCTGTTATCCCAATTAAGTCATATTTCTTGGACTGGGCCAGCGCCTCCAGTTCTTCCTGTTTGTTGCCCAGGCTTCTCGCATTAGTGTACAAACACTTCATGTAACCAGTTGATTGCCCTATCTTCTCCATTCGAGACAGGGGTGCTTCTTCCTCTCTGCATTTCTTCCCGGTATCTGACTTTCCCTCTCCCCTCAGGGTTTTGGTCACCGTCCCCCGACGAACCTAGTTTAAAGCCCTCCTTACTAGGTTTGCAAGCCTTCCCGCGAATATGCTCCTTGCTCTCTTCAGTTAGGTGGATCCCATCTCTTCCTAACAATCCTTGTGCCCAGAACAGAGTCCCATGGTCGAAGAAACCAAAGCCCTCTCTGCGACACCACCTGCGCAACCACGCATTTACGTCCTCAATTCTACGATCCCTGCCCAGTCCTTTCCCTTCAATGATTTGCACAAGAGGGCTTTTGCCTGAACGGGAGCAGCACAGTATTTCCGCAAGAACACTGACGATCTTACACGAGATCGTCAGTGTTCTTGCAGAAATTCAAGCAGCCAGTGTAGACAGCTGGCAAGTTTTTCCGCAAAAGCAGATGATTTTGCGGAAAAACTTACCAGTCTAGACACAGCCAAGATGTTTAATTTTTTAAGAAGTAGAAATTTCTTTAATATATCTTTAGTTTTAGTTCAAGAATGAAAACATTAGTATCTTTATAGTAAAATATGTTTATCCAAATCTTTTTTTTTTTTTTAAAGGCATGAAACCTCTTAGAGTAAAGATCTTCAAAGGAGTTTTACTTTTTGAAATGGTTGGGCTTTTGGGAGCATATTTTCTATATTATAGAATGGACAAAAATCAAGGTAATCAACTGGTTTTAGAAATTACTGCTGCTGAGTACCAATGTTTTTATTCCCCAAATTAAAAAATTGAAACTTCTGTTCTTAATGGTTTCTCATTTTTTTTTCTTGGTGTTTTTTTTTTGTTTGTTTTTGTCCTGCCTCTTTCTGTAAACAGAATAGCTGTGAAGAAAAACACTGCATGTAATATGGGAGAAGGAAAGAGACCTCTCCAAAATATCTTTCCTTAAAGACAGGGACAAGGTTTCAACTAGGAAAAAGTCCTCTAAGGGTTTGTTGCTGAGAGATTGTATTGGTGGAAAAAAAAATGTACATCTATTAGATCATTCCTGAGAGAATTCTTCTGGAAAAAAATTATGCACTCAGTATTAAAATACTGCAAATATTAAAACCCTGTGGATATATATGGCTCATTTTTGCAGATACAGATTTTGTATCTAGAACTCTGCAAACTTGCAGATACTGCTTTATATCCACTGGTGTTATCTGTTGGTGCAGATATCCGCAAATGATTGTAGCGGCTATGGAGACCAATTTTGTGTTTGCGCAGGGCTCTACAGATTTTGTCCACTGGAGATTCCAGCATGGCATAAGGGGAGCACACAGATGTGGTTGCACTGAAGTAGGAGATACAGATGTAAAATCCTGTTTAGTTAATTAACTGGTGCTCCCGGGCCCCCTGGGGCTGCAACAGCCTTCTGTGGGTGGGAGGATGTGCTCCCTAGGTACCGTTACCCATTAACATCTCTAGTCGATAACTTTGTAGTGTCTCTTCTCACTTCTGCCCCCTCACTCACACTTGGCAGTGAGGACCTTGACAGAGTGCAAGGGCCAGGCCTGCCCTTCAACACCAGGAATATCCAATGTGGGCAGGCAGGCAGGCTCAACCTAGCAGGATCCAAGTGTAGATTGAGAGGATTGTGTGGGGAACTGAATGGGAGGTCTGGGTTAGGGGGAGATCTGGCTGCACAAAAGCATATGAGAGCTTTCTGGGTGCCAATGGGTCCAGGTGAAAGTGGATGGGCCACAGCTTAGGGGGGCAGCAATCTGGATGTGGGGGACTCAGCATGGGGTGCCTGAGTAGTAAAACTCAATGGGGTTGGGGTTCAAATCCAGGGGACTCAGTGGAACAGGGATCTGCATGGAGAAGTTCTCCAGATGCAAGTGGTGGGACTTGGCAGTGTGAATATGGGGGAGGGTGAAGCTCAGCAGGGCAGGTCTGGGTACAGGGTGAGGACAGCTCCTTATAATTTGTTCCTCAGCTGTGCATGGAGGGGTTAGTGAAGTCGAGAGCAGGTGGGGGTGTGGTGCTTCCTGCAGGTAGGGGAGGTTTAGAAAAGTGAGTCAAAGATCCAGCTGTTCCATGCATCGGAAAAAGAAGCTTCATCCTTCCCACAGGATAGGAGCTATGGTCCAGGATGCTCCCCCTACCACTCTCCTCCTCCCCTGTGATTTCGCCCTCTACTGGCTGCTGTAGACACCAGAAACACCATATCTGCGCTGCTGAAGAGAGGCATATAACACACCTCTTGCAGCTTCTCTGATGGGAAGTATAGAAATCTGTGGGGGACATGGACTTGTGCGCGCATATGCAGTGGTGCAGAATTTTTTCCAGTAGCCTATAAAGCAAAATATGTAAAACTAAATTACAAACCTCACGTTGCCCAGGACAAAGCCCACTTAATATCAAATGAACCCTTAGACCTAGAGTATTTAGCAGCTTCACTTATCAGCTAAGGCTCTCCCAGGAGAACTTTTAAGTTTTGTACTATTCCCCCATCACTAGTATCTGAGCGCATTCCACAGCAAGTGAGAATTTTGATTTTATCTAGAGATTTGACTTATGACAGCTTCAGGATACATCAAAATGCAAAGATACATTTGTTCTATTCCATCTGAACAGCATTTCCACTCTGCCTGATGTAGATCAGAACTGAATGGAGTTGTGTAGAACTAAAGAGCTTTGAAAAGGAGGGACTATCCAGAGAATCACCATACCAGGTTATGAGAGGAGTCTGGGGCTGATGTAATCAAAATTAGGTACAAAGTTTTAGGTGTGTGCAGTGTGGAAGGATAACATGGGCTCAAATTTAGGTTTGCACAAAGGATGAAGAAACTATTTTGTTTCCAGGATGCAACGGATAACATTAATCTGCAGCCAAATAAGGGAAGTTGTCTGGTTAAGAGCTGTAGCTGAACCCTCAAAGATAATGTTTCTTAATGACCAATTTGTGGCCTGATGTCAGTCTCCAACATCTTCCTGACACCGTTTAGGAAGGCAGCAGGCCAGTTCCCTGGTGTCAAAAAGATTAAGAACTGCTCAGTGACTGAACTTATAATTAACTTAGGGCAAACCCCTTTGCTAAACCTTTCTGTTAAAACCTTTAGATTCCACAACCATCTGAGTTTTTAGAAAGGAGAATTTCTTTTGCAAAAGGAAGAAGGTTTAAGACCTAGATGAGAGGTGTTCAGGGAGGGCGCACCAAGCTTTTCATGCACACTTATACTGGGGGTGGGGATAAGCTCATTGTCTCACATTGTAAATAAAAGCTCAAATATGTTGCTTAATAAACATTGCAAAGTATTTATATTTCAGTGCTTAATGTTATCTGTAACTAAAGACTAAAAGCGGTCTTTAGAACACACAAATGCAACTGTGGGGCTTGTGGTGTGGGTTTTTTGTTTTTTAAATAGTTGTAACTTTTCTTTTTTTATCATCAGATTTCAGGCATAAAATGAACATGAGATTTCCATCTGTTCTGGAACGTAAGTTGTTGCCAACTAAATGAAAACACTTTAATTCACTGTCAAAGACGTGATCTCGTTTTGCATTGCTGCTAAATATTTTTTCCAGAAAGACATTGTAAAACGTGCCTTTTAGCTAGAGAATTCTAGTGATTTTTTTTTCCTGCTCAGTTGGATGAATACAAATCCAATAAAACTAACCCAAGAAATTCACATTAGAAGAACAGATGACACTGATGCCTTTTCTTTTATATTTTCATAGTTTATTATAAAAGCAATGAATGGGCTGGAATTCACGGAATAAGGGAGAAAGACCAATTGAAATGGCTAAGCAGCAAAAATTAGAAGTAAGAACAAAAGCTGTATAAAACAATGATTCATTTTCTTGACTTTTTGCTTTTATGTTTCAGGCCTTTGTGTTTGAACTGTTTTTTCTTCTTGATAATAGTTTTTACATCTCTGTTGTGAAGCCAATTGTCACGCTCTATTTCCCACTTGAGCTGTTTGACACCTACAATGGAAAGGAGGAGGAAGATGACATAAGTAGTGGTGGATTATTGATGTATCCTTTGAACATAGTCTTATTTATTCAAGTCTAAACAAACATATAATCTCCAAATTCATAAAATATCGAAGTTTGAACTATTGGATTTTTTACATCAAATACATTTTTTTCATTATGTATAGCTTATACCTGAAACCTTTTGGGACTGATGCTTAGAATTACTTTCCTGTATCCTATGTTGTATAAATACTCAACATTCAGGATGGAAGCCATCAATTTTAGACAAGAGAAATGATGCAAACAATTAAAACTTTAATTGTACTCAATACAACACAGGTCAAATATCTTTTTTTCCAATCAAATAGACAAAACCTAAGTGGAATTGTACAGATTTAATTTGTGTGGGGGTGTAGGGAGGGGAAGGAGACTGTTTTTGTTCGATATATACCGAAGCTGGATAGTGGTATGTTTAGCTAAACAAAAGTTGCATCATAATTTCCCACCAGGGATCTAGTACTTTAGCTTTTATACCAGCTTAAATTCCCAGTGGGGTTAGAATCTAACTCCTTGATCACATAATTTCGAATTTAATGATGCAAATCAAACAGCACATTTTGCAAAATTCTTGCAAGTGCTATGCCTGAGACAATAGAAGTAAATTGGACTAGGGCAAGAGTCCTTAAGTAGAGTTTAAGTACATGATGTACAATACAAAAAAAAATACTGACGCAAGCTCTTATCTTTTCATGAATTTAAGTTAGCTTCCCTTTTAAATGGGGTATGCAGTTTTAAGTGTTTTCTTCATCAAAAAGATTGTGCATAGGTGTTTCAGTACAGAAAGGGTGTAGATTAATAGAAACTAACTGCACTTACTTGCATTATCTTTGTTAGCCATTGCATTCAGACCAATGTTGTCAAACTTGGACCCAACATTTTCATCCAGAAGAGAGCCAAACTGTAAAAAATTAATTTTGTTTATGGAAAGATACCTATGCACAGGGCTCGACAAATGCACTCAACTGGTGAGTGCAGGGGCAGACTGGCCCGGTGGGTGGTTGTGACAGGCTGGCCAAAGCCCGCACGGCCCCATCCAATCCGCTGGCCAGGCGGAGGAGTGAAGTGCAGTGATTCCCAGCGCCGGGCTGCCTGGGTGCAGCTCTGGCGTGAGGAGGCGGAGCCAGAGGTGGGATGGTAGCTGGTAGCAGGACACTGGCATGACATGGCCCTGCTGATTTTAAAGGGCCACATCAGCTCAGCTCTGGCTGCATGGCCCCAGGAGCTGGCTGCAGCGCAGCCAGGCCCCAACCCCCTCACCGGTGAGAGATCACTCCTGGCCGACCACCCAGCTCACTGCACCCGTCCCACGCCACCCATTCCAAACTCCTCCCCTGTACCGCGGACCCCCTGCTCTCCCTGGCTCTGCGCCGCCCTTGCACCCTGCTCCCCTCCGATCCCTGCCCCCCAGCTCTGTGCTGCCCATTCCCTCCACTGCCCCTAGACCCCGATCCCTCTGCCCCTCCTTGTTCCCTGCATCCCATTCCCCGTGCCTTCATCACACCTTGCGTCCCTCTGGCTCTGTGCCTCCCATTCCCCGTGCCACCCATGTACCCCTCTGGCTCTGTGCTCCCTGTACCCTGTTTCCCATGTGGGTCGGGAATGAGGGGTGCTTGTCCATAGGGAGGGGCTGCTATGACCCAGCAGGGAGTGAAAGGGGGAGTTCACTTGAAGCGCCTTTGCCTTTATGGGAAAAAAAAATGAAAATGCTATTTGCTATTTATAGGGCGAAAATGCCAGGACAAATATGGAAAACAAAAAAAAACCCATTGCAAAATGCAAATGTATAAAAGACAACCAAAAAAGGGGGGGGAGGATGTTTTGCTTGGGGCAGCAAAAAAACTAGAGCTGGCCCTGGGGGAGGGGAAGGGGCTGGACTGTGGAGAGAGGGGGAGGTGTTGGGAGAAGGCTAGAAAGAAGGGGTGGGCATGAGGAAGGCAGGGATGGAGCAAGTCGTGTGAGGGCACAGGGACATGAGGGGAACGGAGTAAGAGGGTGGTGAAGGGATGAGCATGAGGGAAAAAGAGAGCAAAGGGGGTAGGGGCAGCGAGGGAAGGGGGAGGCACCAGGAGGGGGCAGGTGCCAGGGGATTCTAGGGGTGAAGCAGAAGGCCAGACACCTGCAGGAGAGGGACCATCACCAGAAGAGAGAGGCAGAGCAGGTGTGTAGAGGGGATGAGGATCAGATCAGAGGAGGGCTACTGGAGGAGTGGGCACAGGGGGGAGAGAAGGGCTGGTGGAGGGGAGCAGGACTCCAAGGCTGAGGGCAGTGACAAAGGCAGGAGTCAGGACAGCAGGGGAGGGTGAGGGGTTGGGGGGCAGCAGGCACCAGGAGAGCTGATGGAGAAAGGGAGGAGACATGGCAGCAGAGGGAAAAGGTAGAGGTTTATAAGGGTACGTCTAGACTACAGGCTTTTGTCAACAAAACTATACCTGCGTCTACACTACTGCTGAGTTCTGTCAATGTTATGTAGACAGAACTCAGCAGTTTTGTCGACGCTGGTAAACCTCATTTTACGAGGCATAACACCTTCTGTCGACAGAAGGTGTTATGCCTCGTAAAATGAGGTTTACCAGCGTCGACAAAACTGCTGAGTTCTGTCAATGTTATGTAGACAGAACTCAGCAGTTTTGTCGACGCTGGTAAACCTCATTTTACGAGGCATAACACCTTCTGTCGACAGAAGGTGTTATGCCTCGTAAAATGAGGTTTACCAGCGTCGACAAAACTGCTGAGTTCTGTCAATGTTATGTAGACAGAACTCAGCAGTTTTGTCGACGCTGGTAAACCTCATTTTACGAGGCATAACACCTTCTGTCGACAGAAGGTGTTATGCCTCGTAAAATGAGGTTTACCAGCGTCGACAAAACTGCTGAGTTCTGTCAATGTTATGTAGACAGAACTCAGCAGTAGTGTAGACGCAGGTATAGTTTTGTTGACAAAAGTCCACTTTTGTCGACAACTCTGTAGTCTAGACACACCCTAAGATACTTATTAATAACTTGGGTGATATTTATTAATAACTTATTACTAATAACTGTTCTTAATCTTATTAAGAATTTATGCTATTAAAAAAACCACTTTTTTGGGGGGGAGGGTGGCGAGTCCCTTTTTTGTCTGGCGAGTAGGGTTTTCCAGAATTTGTCGAGCCCTGTCTACGCCAAATAAAGCTTTTTTTTTAAATTATATACTAACCACTTACCTCTTCTGCAGCAGTAAGTATACTGGCATCTTTGAGTTTTCTTTTCTTTTGCTGCTTTGAGACTTCAAATAGAAACATTAGTGAAAATTATAATCAAACTAATTCTATACTATTCCAGCCACTACCACCACCACCTCCACACAAAATGTATCCTTCAATAACGTTGTCCCAAAGTATCTGATTTCTATTAGCTCCTAAAAAACATTTAAGGCCTTGTCTGCACTGCCAGGTTTTATCGCCAAGAACTGCCTTTTGGCAACAAAACCATGAAAGCATCCACACTCCAATGCAACCTCTCAGGAAAAATGCCCAGTGTTTGGACCATCAAACAGCCTTCTGCTGCCATTATTGTATGCCTCAGAGGCTCATGTGACCCTCCACCCTGCCCTTTACCTTTTTTTAAGAGGTCAAGGTCACAGCCAATGATGAGTGACTCAGTAAGCTACATTGAAGTACTGGAGTAAAACCCCTCTGTAATCCTGATCTCCCTTTCCAGAAGCAGACTTGTTAATGTTGTGGAGAGGTTTGGGGGGATCCCAGACCAGCCCACTACTACAGGTTCCAGCCCAGCAACCCTATGTTGTGGCAACTGATGGGGTTTTTCCTTTAGTCCCAATACAGCAGCCTTTTCCCTAGGCCACCTCCCCAAAAGCTCCTCTAGTACCTTCTCCATGGTACCTGGATGAATCTTTCCTACTTCAGCTTAAATATACTTTCCTTTCTCAGTTCTTAGCTCTCAGCAACACACTTCCTCCCCCAAACTCCCTTCCAGACCCTGCACCCAGACGCTCTCCTAGTAACCTATCAGGCCTTAATTGGCTGGAGTGGTTCCTGGTATATCTACCCGCCACCAAACTATTGTACCAGCTGCCCTGGGTCTGTCACACAAGCATCAGTCTGATTATTAGATAAAATGCAACAGCACACAGCTATTTGATGCTGTAGGAACTTGCTATTTTTTAAAGGAAGTGAGGAAAAAAGCCACCATACCTGTTGAATTCACCCACTCAATTTCCAAATCAAACTCAATATATATCAAATTTGAGTGAGTTTGCATTGTATCTGCATACATGCAGCACAAGTTTGTCTTATTGGCCTCCCTATATAGTAGTCTGGATTTGTTTAGAAAAGGTAAATCCATGAATGCCTCACATTTTTCTAGAGCTGTGGCATGCTGCTGGTAATGAAAACAAAACTAATTACAAATGCAATCTGCTAAATCAATTCAATACTATTCAGTTGTACCAGACTGACTGGATTTGCAATGGGTGTATGGGTGAGAAACTAATTTTCATTAAAATGGAATTTGAACTCATGTTTTCGTAGGCAAAAGATCAATTTGCTAACATGCTACACCAGAAAACACTCTACCACTCTCCCCATCTCCACTGGTGTATATTGGTATTCTCTCAAACTTTAAATGCAAATATTTTCTTACCTTCAAATGATCCAGCAAAATCAATATTTTTTTTTCTCTTGCCCTTTTTACTGGCAGATTTGGCCTGATTTTTGTTGTTTACATCTATTATCAAAGAAAAGCAAATTAGTCACTATAATTTTCACAATATACAATATACTTAAAACATACTAACCGCAATGACTAGCTCATCCATTTAAGACATTTGCCCCATTATTCTTTGAGCTTGCCCTTAAACATTAAAACCATAATGGAAATACACTCATGTTTAATTTAAACTCACAGATCTTGGGAAATGCCAGGTTTTTCATGCCAGCTTTAAATGTCTCTTTTGCCTAGCACCACAGCATGGAAGATATCTACAATATAGAGAGTTTGTGCCTCTGTGTTCTGGCCATCAGAGTCCATTTGTTAAAGAACTCCTATATAGTAAGACTCAGGACCCACAAATTTGGTTTGCAGCTTCCTCTTCTCATAGCTTAAAGCCAGGTCAGGGTTTGGTTGTGCCAGGACAACGACGTGCAGGAAAAGTGGTTCCCCCCCATCAAACAGAAAGGAAGGAATGTCATAGAGCCAGTTATACTGACGAATGACCATGGGGGGAGCAGTAAGCACTCCAGCCCTGGGGAGCTACCAGCCACCATGAAGCCCCTGCCACCCTGGTCTGACCCCTGGGAGCAGCTGCAAACCAAGCCATGCAACCCCTGGTTGTCCCAGGCCAGCCCTGGCAAGAAACATGTCCCAGGGAGAAACTGGAGGTTGGCTTGTGCATCCTCCCTCCCCTCCACCCCCTCCATCCCAGGCCAGCTCTGGGGAGAAGCCACCAGGCAAGCGGCACTGCCCCCAGACTCAAGCAACACTGGGTAAGTCTTTTAGTTGGTAATATTGATCACTTTAAGCTTCCCCCCCCCCCCATTTTTACATGTTGAAATTAAAAATTATTCCACCAAGCTATTTTCAGAGGCAATGAGTACCTGCTCTCTCTCCCCTCAATAGGAGCTTTTGAACAAAGAGTGACTTCAGTGGAAACTACTGGTAGCTCAGCACCTTGGAAAGTCAGGCCTCTAATTTAATGGATATAAACATCTAGTCTATGCAGCCAAGTCTTAAAGCATTGATATTGCTGTCATTTTATGTTTCAATCCTGAATCCTGATTGTTACTTTACCTAGACTGTTATCATCTGATACATC